TAGTTACCTATCCTCTAGCTCAAGTTAAATCAACAGAAATTATGTTACACTCATTTTCTAAAACAGTGTTTCAAAAAAAATCAATGTTTCCAAGCATAGTTTTCCCAACAATCTAATGAAAAGTCATGATTTCCAGTGTGTTTGACAACAACAGCACATTAGTCCTGTCATCTAAATGCAGTGACTTGCTTTACACCTTATCCGACTTGAAGCACTACAAAACACAGATTAAAAACAAAAAAAAACAAAAAACAAACAAAAACCTTTATTTCCAGTATTTTCCATGTCTGCAACACTTAGAATTATTTTCTTAGTCAAAACTGCTAATGAAAAAAGTCCATTCTAAGTTGAATTCTAAAGGAGTACCATTAGGTGAACAGACCATTTATCAATGCAGCATCCAACATCTGGAGCTCTGGATAATGTAAGTGAACTTCAAAACTGTTTTGACTGGTCCTATGACTACAAGACACCATACGCATTTCCTATCTTGAACAGCTACACTGAAGTAAATACACAAACTATTACAAAGCTTTTTTTTTTTTTTTTTTTTCTATTAGTAATCAATTGAATGGCACTGGTTTCTTGGAGCTTGTTTTCACATTTCTCCAAAATAATAATTTAAAAAAGACTTCAGTATAACTTAAGTTTTTATTACAGGGGAAAAACTCTGTTTTCAATAGCACAGAATAAATAATACTACAGCTTGAATTTAGGTTCTCAATTTCTTAATATTACAAGAAATAAAAATGACGACAATTTAGAACTTCAACCACCTTTGTAAGTTCTAATGTACTTTTCCATGTTCTGATTTGATTCATACTTCTATTATGTTTTATGAACAACCGGTTAGCTGTCGAGCAAGATATACTCAAAATCCATGAAACTGTACAAACTTATCTTGATAAAATCAGATTAGCTTAGTACTACATGAAAAACAGAACAGTGAAGGTGACCACACGAAAACACAAAGTACACAAACAAAAAAGGCCAGTAGACTGTTTAAAACAAGTTGTTCCATAAGCTTTTTGAAAATTGTCAGTGTTGCATATAAACTGTTACAATTTTCAGAATAACAAAACTGAAGATACTCAAGAGAATCCACAGCAACCCACTGCAAAACGCATGTTGAAAGAGAGCAACACGTTCAAGAGATCCTTAGAAATTACACTGGAATCTAGTTTTCATATTTTCACTAGGTCATCGTTCATTTCTTCAGTGTACAATTCTACAAACTATAACAATACTTTTGCATGTAAACACACAAGATTTTTCCTGTGAAAAGTTAACTCTGTCTCACAGATATCTCAAAGCACTAACAACCACAGCCTTCATGTGCAATCCTTTGTTTTTGTTTTTGTAGAGACAACTGGCAAAAATAGTAACCTCCCTAGTTTCAGCTGAGAAACAATAAACATTTTAAAGACTAAGTAGATTCGAATACATAGTCAGCTCTGAGTAAAAAAATGACAGTTTCACCTTCAACTGTCCACTTGAACAATGTAACAATGGAAATGCAGAAAATATCCTCTCTGAAGGAAATGAGCAAGTTACTAGATATACTCTCAATTGATTAATGAAAACTGAACTCCTATGTCTAAAGAAACTGTGTAGTACTGAAACAAACCTCTTTTAAAAAAAAGCAACACCACTATTATTAACTTACTTGAACTGAAACCATATTTCAGAACCAAAACAAAGCAAGGTAAGCATTATCACACACCAAACATAAATATTTTGAGAATTACATTTATCACTGAATGGCTTGGGTTGGAAAGGACCTTAGAGATCATCTAGTTCTGCTACGCAGAACACACTCCCGGTGATTCAGGCAGAGACAAAGAACTACTCCTCCACCTGGACTGTCACAAGTCCATGAGATTGGACAGGCTTCATCCTAGGGTGCTGAGGGAGATGGCCGGAGTGATTGCCTAGCTGCTCTCAGCCATCTACCAGTGCTCCTGGTTATCTAGAGAGGTCCCAGAAGACTGGAGGCTTGCCCATGTGAGTCCCATCTAGAAGAAGGGCCTTAAGGAGGATCTGGGGAACTACAAGCCTGTCAGCCTGACCTTGGTACCAGGAAAAGTTATGGAGCAAATGAACTTGGGTGAGATCACACAGCACGTGCGTGGTGTCCAGGGGATTAGGCCCAGCCAGCATGGTTTGTGAAAGGCAGGTTGTGCTTGACCAACCTCACCTCCTTCTACAACTGTATGACCAGACTGGTAGATGAAGGAAAGGCTGTTGATGTAGTCTACCTAGACTTCAGCAAAGCCTTTCACACGGTCTCTCACAGGATTCTTCTGGGGAAACTGGCTGCTCATGGCCTGGACAGATATACTCTTCTTTGGGTAAGGAACTGGCCAGAGGTCCGGGCCCAACAGGTAGTGGTTAAAGGAGTTAAGCCCAGCTGGTGACCCATTACAAGTGTGTCTCCCAGGGGTTGGTACTGGGGCCCATCTTGTTTAATATCTTTATTGGTGACATAGATGAAGGGATTGAGTGTACCCTCAGTAAGTTTGCAGACGACACAAAGCTGGGAGGTGGTGTCAATCTGCCTGAAGGTAGGGAGGCCCTTCAGAAGGACCTAGATAAGCTGGATCACTGGGCTGAGGTGAATGGAACGAGGTTCAACAGGTCCCGCACTTTGGCCAAAAGCGTGTCCAGAGAAGGGCAACAAAACTGGTGAGGGGTCTGCAGCACAAGTGTTATGAGGAGCAGCTGAGGGAGCTGGGATTGTTTAGTCTGGAGAAGAGGAGGCTCAGGGGAGACCTCATTGTACTCTATAACTTCCTTGATGAAAAAGGGTCTGGCCTCTTCTCCCAGTCAACCAACAGAACCCTAGGAAATGGCCGCAAGTTGTACTAGAGGAGGTTTAGATTAGACGTAAGGAAGAACTTTTTCTCTCAGAGAGTGGTCAGGCACTGGAATGGCTGCCCAGGGAGGTGGTGGAGTCGCTGTCCCTGGCAGCGTTCAAGAGGCATCTGGATGAGGAGCTACGAGATATGGTTTAGTGCTTGTGGTAGCAGTGGTAATGGGAGGACTGTTGGACTAGATGATCTTGTAGGTCCTTTCCAACCTTGTGGTTCTATGATTCTATGATTCTAGTTCTAACTACCCATCTATGGACAACATTGAGATCCACTAGATGAGGCTGCCCAGGACCACATCCAACCTGACTTTGAACATCTCCAAGGATAAGGCATCCACAACTTCTCTGGGCAGCCTGTTCCTGTGCCTCATCACCCTTTAAAGTAAAAAACTTCCACCTAATATCTAATCTAAATCTGCCGTTTTTTAAATTAAAACTGTCCCCTCCTTGCCCTATCATTACACCTGTTGGAGAAAGAATCTCACCAACAGTCTTGTATATCCATTTTGGTAATGGAAGTACACTATCAAGTCATCCTGGAACCTTCTCTTTTTTCCACACTGAATAACTCCAACTCTCCCAGCCTGCCTCTATAGGAGAGGGGCTCCATACATCTGACCATCCTCTTCATCCCTCCTTTTGATTCAAACAGCTCCATGGCCTTCCTGTGCTAGAGGCCCAAGTATTGAAAACAGCACTATAGGTAGGGGTCCTATGAGTGGAACAGAGGGGGAGAATCACCCCCCTCAACCTGTTGGCCATGCTTCTTCAGACTGCAACGCAGGATATACTTCGCCCTCTGGGCTGTCAGTGAACACTGCTGGCTCACATTGAGCTTTTCATCCACTAACAACCACAAATCCTTATCCTCAGGTTTGCTCACTATCTATTCTCTGCCCAGTCTGCATTTGTGCTTGGGATTGCTCCAGCCCAGGTACAGGAACTTGCATTTGGCCTTTCTGAAGTACTTAAGTAAACGCATTTAGAATTAGTCATATTAAATGATCTAACACGCAAAATTCAGTAAAACTCAAGCAACTGATAAGAAAACAATGCAAAAACATAGTCCAACACAGTAAGAAATAATATAATTAATAAAACTTTTCCTAGCAAGTTACTTATATAATGAGTTTCATGCACAGACTGCTGTCTGACTGAACACTATCTCTATCCCACTATATGGTATCTTTCAAGTGACTTTTTCCATAGCTGATAATGATGCTCTCTCGTTGTTACAGAGGCTAAAGTTACATCAGTCATCACTCTGTTCAGACAACAGTATCATCAGAAAAAATACATGTGGACAGATCTTAACAGTCTCACTCATCAAGCTCGTTGTCTTAAAATAATTCTGCTTTGATTTACTGCTATACTCAATTTCAACAGTAACGAAATCTGTTTCTCAAGAAATTTCACATCATCAATATAGGCCATAAATATTTGGAAGATAGGAATAACTACTTTAGCAGAGAATTACCACTACCTTTAAAATAAAATTCCTTGATTTATGCTATCTGTTAACTGAATTTTAGGAAGAACACAGGAAGAACACACCAGTGCGGTCAAAACTTAAGAATTACCTAAACATACAATACAAGTAAAAAATCTGGAACATGATTAGAAAACAAAAATATTATGTAGATTATAAGGCAGTGTATCATCTGACATGGATTATCCATAGAGACAGACTATTGGATACACAACAACAAAGTTTATAGGCTTAATCATGTATATCAGTGGATAATTCAGGGCAGCATCAACATATATCATTATGTATCATAATCACACAGCTACTTTGCTTTATGCCTAACATGCTTTGTTGTTCTCACAGGAGTGAATAAGAAAAATAAAAGAACAAGTCACTTTCAATACTAACTCAAGATCCAACAGGTTAAATTCTGAGTGATAAAGGAAGCTGCTATGATTAGTCACATCTGTTTAAGCACTTCAAAATTTAGAACTAAAGATGACTCCTCTCTTTATATAGTTCTAGCAGGCAAACTAATATGTTAACATATTTATCCTCAAATATTGGCTTCAATTGCACATTAAATAATGCCAAAAAGAGACTAATGCAGCACAGATATCACATAGAAATCACAAGAGAAGTGAAGTTCACATCACCTACCTTTTCCACCTTTCCACCATTGATGTCACTAGGGAGGAATTTCTTGCCAATCGTTCTTAAATCTGTCTGAAATTAATAGAGAAGACAACAGAACATAAATCTAAAATATCCTGTTTCAAAAAAAAAAAAGAATCACAAATCATAAAACAAGAAAAAGAAGGGCATTTCTTCTATTATCCCAACAATTAGGATACCCTACAGACGTTCAGAGCGAATATTGTAAAAGAGAAGATGAATGTTCATATTACTTTCTATTGCACAATATAGCCACAGAGTAATAAGAAAGTACACTTGGTTTTCAATCTGAGCCCACCCAAAGAAACCGATCTGTCACTTGCCTGTTATTTACATCTGAACAGCACACAACTTCCTTTGAACTGTCCCTGCAATAATCCATATTCATACAGAATTTGACAAGTCTCCAGAAAGATGCTTTGCAACCACAGCAACAAGGAAGGAGACAGAACTTGTACAAACCCTTTGCAAGATCTTATACAAAATAAAAGCATTTGAAGAACTGAAGGCACACGTCTACATTTATTTCATTCCTATTCAAGTAATTCACAAAAAAACATCAGTTGGTTTCTTTTGCCAATGAGAGGTGTTAGGTGTTAGAATTTTTAGGAAGTGCAATCTAAACTCACTTTTATCCTGCCTTTCAAAACACAACGGTATTTCTACTTAACCAACAGGAAACAATCTGGGCATTTAAACAACAACTGACTTAATTACAAAAATATTGATAACTCATTAAGATTGGCTTTGGGTACTTGCATAACGTTTCTGGTTTATCTTGATTATCTATCAGACAAGCTGGAAATACAACACATGTACTTGTTTATTTCCTTGTAGGCAAAAATAATTATTAAACTAACATATCTACAGTAATTCAAGCAACTGCTTGTAGTTATATAACTAAGTACACATCGTAAGAAACTCAACGTTTGCTTGAACAGGCTTTAAAGAATTGCATACCCAGAAGTTAATTTAAGTAAGGGTGTTTTACTCATCCTAGCAAGTTCATATTTTGCACTGTCATTTCATACTCACATCCATACACAGCACTTCTGATTTCATTATAAGTATTGCTTATACTTCAACTTCAGATTTACATTTCCTAAACACAGAAATATCTTCCAACTGCAAATTATACTCATTTTTCTCCCTACTAGGCTTCAGGTTGACTAGGTGTCATTTCCAAATGAACTTCAGAAATAATTCATACATGCTGGGAAGGAGAAAGGTGCTTTGTCCTTTACGTAAATCACATAGACAACAATGTATTTAATTAGAGTCATAGACTTCCACCTGAGCCATTAGATATATAGTTTTCAGTGTGATGTCAGAAAAAAAGTTCACAATCATAACTTACATTAAGTGCAACTAGGATAATGTCATTCGTATTGACTTTCTCGGATGAATTTATGCAAGTTTCAATTCCTTCATCTGAAAGATACCTGTTAAAGAAAAAAACAGACATATAAGAATATCATATGGTTTATGTAATAGGTGAATATCCATTCTGTAATTTTTAGTATGCATTTTCTATGTCAGTGAAGCATAGGAAGGAAAAAAAAAAACAACACAAACAACTACATCAGTTTCTAAAGGGCGAGAGGATGCACTCAAACACTTGAAGGAGGAGCAATATTATATTGTCATCCTACAAACTTTCTTCTTGCTTGTCTAAGTTACAAAATAATTTACAAAAGTGGATTTGTATCACCACATACCCCAAGAGTCAAATGTGGCAAACAACTTCAGAAATCTTTGGAAACAACATTTAAGATCTTCACAATGGCAGTCCAGGATCACCACCTTCCTGCCAAAATTCTGTAAGCACGCAATGAATTTGTTCACCTGACAATTAAGGATGATAATCCATTGAAAGGATGTGCATAATCAATTTAGAAGGGCTGACGCATTCTCATGTTCAAAAACACTTAGGGAGAATGTAATTTTTACTTGAGTAGTTAGAAACTGTGACATTTGTTACTCAATTTGCCTCCTATTTCTCACTCCAAGCCTCAGCTTTCATTCCCATGTAGATGGCAATCTGCTTTATCCGCACAGTTCTGCCTTTTCTTTAAAAACATCAACAGCAATCATTACACTGATAATTGCCAGATATTGAATCTGAAACACAGAACATACATTCCTGTACTAATTACCTAACAAGAAACCATTATTCCTCAAAAAATAAATAACCATTAAAAAAGATTATTAAAGTGTAAGTATTCCAGAGCATTTAAAGAAATATTTAAAGAAAATAATTCCCAAGTGTAAAATAAAATCATGTAAAGATTTGAAGGAAAGCAGACTCGATACACCTTCTTAATTCTGTCTCAGCTAACATGAATATTGCCCTGACAGTGTTGCCAGACTAATTAATGATCCCAGTTGTACTCTAACCCAGACACTTGATAGCAGTGTAGCTGTTCAAGTCAGACACCAACATCTAGCAAATCCTGAGGGATCAGAACTCAAAAAAAAAAAAAAAAAGCATTTAGAATGTGAAAGAAACAATCCTGTTTTTTGATACAGAGCATACACACTAGAGAATAAGGTGGCAGGATTTGTTAGTCCACATAGAAATGTGGATTTCTCAGTTGAGTGCCTCTGAGCTTGGGTATCACCACCTGTGAAGATTCAAGTGGTAATTCCCACTTGGAATTCTCAGATTCATTAGCTGGAATCAGAATGTTAAGTAGAACAGAATTCCCCCTCCCTACCAGAGGAAACAAGAACAGGTATATCCTATGCACAGCACTACACACCTGGGGCCTCAGCTGTGGTTTAATTACACCAGTAAGGTTTCCATAAAGAGAAATGTAATAAAATCTGCAAGTCTACCTTCTGTAATCTTAAGTATAAAGCTGAGAATCAGTTGTATCAGGAGTGGGTGGAATATAAACCCCACAAGCTGAATTTCAGACAAGTTGTGGAAACATTCCTCCTCTTGTGCAAATTAACTAATTCTTCAGTTCTGCTGAAACTAGCAGAACTGCAATTCCATTATGAGCTGCACAGTGTAGTATTGAGATGCAAGCACTAACATTTATCAGCAGGAAAAAATATTTTTAGAGAGCGAGTAAACAACAATCTGATCCAGAATTAAATTTTCCCTAGATAGGATAAAATCGATTACTTCTGCTACCATAAAACTCACTGCTGAGTCATGTTTCCATTTCTCACTTAAAAGTGAAGGCTGAAACACAGCCGATAAAATTTCATAGTTTCGTTTGTCTCACTACTTCACAGAATCACAGAAAGGCTTGGGTTGAAAAGAATCACAATGACCATCTAGTTTCAATCCCCTGCTATGCGCAGGGTCGCCAACCACCAGACCAGGCTGCCCAGAGCCACATCCAGCCTGGCCTTGAATGTCTCCAGAGTGGGGCATCCACGACTTCCTCAGGCAACCTGTTCCAGTGCGACACCACCCTCTGAATACTTGATCAGAGGGTTTGAGACAAAATGATAAATACACATATACACATTGAAAAAGGTTTTTCTTTTTTGACTTATTAATATAAGTCAATTAATTTCAGCAAACAGCACTTAAGAGAAACATTGTGCACCAGACTGAAATCTCCATCGACGTTACAGGAGTGACAATAATGAAATGCCATTTGAGGGCACCTGATGGCTTGATCTAAGCAAACACTACAGCTACAGCTTTCCAGCAAAAAAACATGATTAGTAGTTTTTAAAGTAGTCTTCAAATTAAAATTAAAAAAAAAAAAAACAAAATAAAATCAAAATCAAATTTAAAAAAAAAAAAAATACCCGAAGAAAACAAAACAGAGCTTTCCAGTAACTTCTTAAGTGGCGCTTCTGTGTAACAGGACACATAAGTGAAGCAATCATTAGAAACGGTCAGGAGCTGAGTGAAGAATTGAGATTAGAAAACACTCTACTCCCAGAAGGAACCAAAACACACATTTCTTCTAACCAGGCAGAAGCCTGGAATGAGTGCATGTCAAGCTAACTTGATGTTTTAACCATCTAACCCTCTTGCTGCTTCATACAAGTAGTATTCCTAATCAATATACAGATTTTTTTCAAAACTCTGCAGAAAGTTCCTTAAAATAAGTGAATTTGTTCTCCTTATTGTCTATACTGCCTGCTGTAATAACTATCTAAGTTTTAGTTATGAACATTTCCTGCTACAGGTCCACAATGCATTTATGGGAAAAAAAAAAAAAAAGCACCAATAATTCTAAGAAATTTCTTCTAAAATAAAAACATCTGTACAGAGAAAACATTTTTCAAGTATGAAATGGGAGCTATGATAGGCCAAATTATCTCTTTAGCTGGCATAAGGTCTGAAATTCCTTTGCTAAACTGAAAGTTCCTTCTTCTTTCTGTTCTTAATAAGGGTATGCGATGTGCTGAAGGTACAGCACACAGCAAAAGACCACTTCATTCTTTTTTTTTCCCCTGTATTAAATAAAAGAAGAAAATCTGACCCTGAACCAAAACCAAAATCAGAGAAAATCTCCTCAGGAGGAGCCCTGGAGCTGAGCACCTGCATTACAGTCATTCAAGTGCCTCACAGCACCTACATTAGCTTTTCTGCACATTTTGCAAGATACCATGACCTACTGTAACCCTAGATAATGAAAGGTGAACTACAAAGAGATCCCATTATACTAATCCAACATGATTCCTACCGCTAAGAGGTGGGAAGCACTCCTAAGCTGTCCATGATCTAGATTACACTGCTGGAACCTGCTCATGAACTCAGAATCCCCAAGACATACCTGGCAGCACCGTACAGATTCAGTGACCTAGATAGATTTTGTTCTGTACATCTCCATCCCAAGCTTCTCTCTCTTCTTTGAACAGGGAGGGAGAGGGGCCACATGGAACAATCCAGCACAGGAACACTGTGCTGTCACAATCAACAAATTTCCATTTGTGTTTCCAATAAACAAACAAGTCAGAATTTTATGCACATCTCTTAAGGAGAAAGTAGATAAACAAAGAAATAAACGGGTGAGAAAAGCCAAGCTCAGTAAAGAAGCAAAAGACAAAGTAGCAGCTGACCAGCACCTTCTTATGCAATGAAACAAATTATTTTCTGAACATGTAATGCAAATAGCAATATCCTACATGATATCCTGCAAGTGAAAGGCTTCAAAGAAGGCAACTAGCTTCCAACTGGGAGCATGTTTTTTGGCTTTATCCATGATGTGCTTAAACATCCTAATACTACACTACTAGTTGTCAGCGTGAATTTTTTTCATTTAGAGGGTGGTGTGGCATTGGAACAGGCTACCCAGGGAGGTTGTAGATGCTCCATCCTGGAAGCATTCAGTTAGGTTGGATAGGGCCTTGGACAGCCTGAGCTGGTTGGTGGTAACTCTACCCACAGCACAGGGTTGGAACTGGATGAGCTTAAGGTCCCTTAAAACCTAAGCCATTCTATGATTCTATGTTGTTTCTGAGGAAACTGCATGTGTGTGTGCACATAAGTCACTGAACTTCTAAAAGCTGGTAACTGTAACAGCATTAATTGCAAGAACTTTTGGTTTCTAAGGAAAAAAATACTCACTAGAGTTGAACAATCTCAGAGGTTATAAACTGAAGTAATCAGACAACTGTATCGATTTCAAAGGAATTATACGAAGTAATGCTCTATGAGTCACACAGGGATTTTGCAGCCTTGGAACATTAATACAAATTAAAAAATAAGAAATAAAATCGGTTTACAACCAAATGGGCTCCAAGCTGCCTCGTAAGTTTGAGATGTTTATCAGCGGATCATTCTCTTGGGAGAGTAGACCAGAAGAGAAAGGAAAATAAATGCTTCTCTCCTGCAATTCTTCCACATTATATTTGCTGGAATCCGAGAGATATTTGTCTCATCTATTCCTCCCCTACACACCCAGCTTCGCTCATCTGAGAAATGTAGCAGCACAATCCTCTTAGCAACAGCTTTTGTCAGAAGAGCAACTCCTTTTTAAACAGAAGGAACCTGTTCTTACATTTCTGAATGAGACACTGCATTGGCAGTATTATTAGGAGGAAGTTACTAGTAACAAATCAGCATTTTGTGCTAACCATTCACTTATAAATCCAGATCTGTAATTTTTCTGTCAAAACGTTCTCTATCAGCTCCTAAGAAAAACAAATTCTGGCAATTCCTCCTAACAAAACATATTAGAGTGGTAACACTGCAAGCTGTTTTCCCACTGCTCCTCCATATCAACTGTGACATCAACCTAATAGTCCACGTTTGAATGCAACCATCAGACACCCACACTCTCCTCTCTGATATTTCCCATTGTTGGGGGCTGTAATTCTGTAGTACTAGCCTCAAATATGTCTCTAGCCATGTTATTTTACCTTCTGCTTTACCTCATCAGGAATAAATTACACCCGACATGCCCTAATCAGACAGATTTGTTACTGCCACACTATAACCACCTGCATCTGAAGCATTAAAAAAATTCTTTTACCAAAGATAAATGCATATTTGTGCTTGCCTGCACTGTACTGCTGGATCAAGTACTTCATGTGCAAGCAAATGTGCGTGTATGCATGCAGGAATTTAACAATGTTTAAATTAAAAGCTTCATTCTAAAATTAAATCCACCCAGTAAACAACTTTCCTAATGATATTTTTTTCTACCAGCAGCTTTCTTCAAAAGTCTGTTCTTGCTATTTGCAATTAACAGTTTATATTCAACCAAAAACCTTCAGCAACCTTCAATCCTTTTCCTATCCTCAATAATTTTCTCCTATCATCTCTACTTTATCTCATTATTATAGGAACAACCTTAAGGAAAAGAAAAAGAAAGAAAGAAAAATAGAATTAATAAATGTACTAAATAAAATTTGTATTTGTTAAATGTTCATACCTCTCCACAGAAACACTGAAACAGGAACCAAAAATGCAAGATGCCTTAACAGTACTTCTCGTAATTCTGGCAGTACATAAAACAACTCTGGAGTTTTAAAGCAAATTTAACATGGCTAATTTCAGTGTGTGTGTGCAGAAACCAAGATATTCTTCCCATTGCCTCCCGAAGAAAACAGATTTATACAGTCGTGCCACACAAACTGTAACCTTTGTAGAGAGCATTCATATTTCTGATAGTTGGTAACACTATGAAGGGTGAGAACAATTTTTACGAAGTGGAACTTCACGCAGTAGTATGAAGCCACCAGTGGGTGCCAGTATTGCTCCACAAAAGAAGAACCCTATCTTCACATTACGTATTTTAAACTTGTAGTATAGTCTTTTGATAGGGTTTCAAAACGCTCTGTCGAATTACAGTTGTATAAAGGAATTATACCGCAGTAGTACAAATTTTATTGAGGCACTATCATTAAAGCTGTTTTTTAAAAAACACAAAACACATTTGAAAACATTATTATGCTAAACATGGAAATCAGGTTTAAAAATAAGGCTTCTTCATGCCCTATAACCTGCATAATGCTGGGTAGGCAACTGACATTGCTCTGTTTTAAAATAAAAAGCTCAGACGTTGAAAGGATGATGTAGTATTATGCAAACTACTGGAGAAAATAAAACAGAACTTGAGGGTGAAGAAGAACAGAGGAGTTATGAAAAGAATTCCTAAGTCCTGACAAAATTAGGGCCGAATACTTCTTCATCTGCAAGGCAAACGTCTGTCAGTAATGACAAATAACATCCATTGTTGTTTTCAATAGTATTCTTGGCAATTTTACTATTACTATCCTGACATTCACTAAAGGGATTTTTTTTCTTCATGTCTAGCCTTGCCGCATTGCCTCCTGTTGCTTCTTGCTTTCTCCACATCTGTGGGGAAGAGACTGTGCCTTTCCTTTTGCAGTCACAAAGCCTTACTCTCTGTACTTCCACAGCTGATCGTTGCTAGCCAGGCGTAATTTTGTTCTCCCATCACTTCTCCAGTTTGTTAATTTTACTTTGAATCCTAATGCTGCTCACTAACAGCTCTGCATTCCTACAGAGCTCTATCTTGTGTTTAAGCCCAGAGCTTCATGCTTCACCATTCAGGTACTTAATGAGAATATCAAATAAAGCCTGACCTAGACAATGCCTCACATGCTGACAGAGCGCCTTCGACGGCTGTTCTTTCTAGTATGGTCCAATCAGAAATAACTGCATTACAGGAACTTAATCTAGACTGTTTCCTCATTTTACTCCTTAATGGTGAGGGGGAAAAAAAAAAAAAAAAAAGATACTGCTAGCAGAATCCCACCCTGGATTGGATGTTTACATCATCCAGAAAGCTCACTGAGAATTACAGAAATGTGATTGCAATTTGGTTGCTGTTTAGGTGAATGGATACCAATTCTACTTTTAAAACATTACTGACATTCATACAACTGCTGCATAGCCAGTACAGCACCTGGGCTCCCTGGGCAGCTAAACATGTATCCTAGCTCCCTAACTTTTCACTCCTGGACATATAACAACACTAAGTGCTGTCTCTAACCCAGGTCAAGCTGAAACTCCAGCAAAGCACTCATGAAAAATGCATTCCCAAGCTCCAATTCTCACAGTTTTAGCCGACAAACTTCAAGGCCTTAACCTCCCTTCAGGTATCTGTAACATTTGACTTTCAATAAAAACACCATCTAAGAAAGCCAATGTATTTTTAGAACTTAAAAATAGAAAATTATATACATATATATATATATATATATATATATATATATAAAATCTACCAAAAAAGCAAGATGTTAGTCATTGATTCCTCCTACACCCCCCCTTCCCTCCGCCCCCATCTTGGGAAGCAAGCACAAGTTAATTATCCTAGAGTAAAGTCTATTTTGCCAGTGAAATCACGACCTAAAGAAAGCTCAGAGTCTAGGAAAAGGGGAAAAAAGAAATAAAGCCTGAAGTGCTTTAAGCAAAATCAATGCGGTAGCTTCATCCTAGGTTACTCCTGCCTAAAACTTTCAGTAAAAACAAAGACCAATAATTTCAGAGTTGTGGTTTTAAACATACACAATACCAGACACCACAGAAGTTATTTCACTGCATGAGTGATACCCACTGAGCCGTTCTTTCAGCCACCTCTGCTCCCACCTCTTCCTACAGACTCACCTCCTTACCCCTACCCACCTGAGAGAGGGGCACAGTCTGGAATCCACTGGCCCTGATGAACAGCTTTTTTTCCCCCATCCACAATACAGGAGGGGAGAGAAGCTGCCTTATATCTGATATGGGCTTTAGTGATGAGACGCCTGCTGGGGGTTACCAGAGAGAGAGCACTCCAGCACTGCCTACAGTGTCAAGTGCCTCAAAGTCTGCATTATTTATGCCAGCACTTTTAGTCAGCTTTGCTGTCATTTCCAAAGAGGACTACTTTTATAAAAATTTCTATTAACTAGTGATAGTTTCAGAATTATTCTCTAATAAGATTGATGTTCAAACAGAACTTTTAGGCTATTACTAGGCTAGCCTGACTCCTGCTTACACCTCCCCAGACCCACACACAACTCCTCTCTTTTTAATTATTGGCACACTTCCATCCATAGCCTCCCTAAAACTACTCTGTTCACGAAATGAAGTATGAAAAACAGGTTCTCAGCACGCTTCTTTTCCAAATTCTTCCACAAAAGAGAACACATTTTAACACATTAACCAAGTATTTATAACAGTGTGCTGTCTGAAGCTATGTTATAGATTTTGCAAATTTCCTCATATGAAATGCCCACTCCTGGGAATGCTTTTTATTTCTTAAGACCAGTAAGGGGCTCAAAACTATATTATGAACAATATCCTATCACTGTACTAAGTATTTTACAACAGAAAAGTGAGAGAGGAACTTAAGTTTGTAAACAAAATGTAAAACTAAGGAACACCATAGCAAGTATCTAAAGACACAGATCCTACATTTTCTCTTTCCTAAATCTAATCTATTTCACATGCCATGTTTTAGACAAACCATGGAAGCAAAACTTGAAAACCCAACTTTTTTTTTTAATTAGTATTATTTTTTATTATTATTATTATTTTATTTCAGTTTCCAACAGAAGAGAAAATGATCACTTGTAAAGCCCTGAGCAAGAAACAGAAATCCTGGGAATTGGTACAACTCATCAAACAGCTCTACAAGAGGCTGGTCACAGGATCCTCTCTGAAAGAGCTGCACTGCTGCAGAATTTATGCTTATGCTTTCAGAAAGCAAAAAGTAGACATTCACTGAATGCTGTAATGCCAGCCTCTTAGTTGACACTTGTAGACGTGGGAAATATCAAATAGCAAGGAAATCACTGAAGGACAGGAGAAAAACTACAAAGTTGTCAGATCTGCATGTGGTAGCTTTTAATATATTGTAGAACTGCATACTTGAGGTGTTTTGTGATATTCTTTTAAATTGCACGAACAGCACTTTTAGTATATGCAGAGGGAACTACCCTCAAGGCTTACATAAATGTAAATAAACGGCTATTTTGAGTTTTATAACAGAAGTTACTGATCAATATTTTGACAATCAGTTTACATTAAAAATTATCCAACAACATATAAACTTTTCATATTGAAAATGTCAAAATCTGAAGTATTCTTTAGGAACTAGAGAATTAAATGGATTGAAAGGATGAAAAACAACACAATTTTTCCCTCAATCAAATTTTCCCCCAAATGAAGCACTGCAATCAGCAGCTGCTCAACATCAGTCTAGGAGCTTTAACCTCTCTCACACGATTGTATTCCCATTTTTCAGTCCCTCATGACCACAGGAGACACAGAGCCTAAGTTACTTCAATGGAGGTAACAACCCAAGTGCCATAACCCAGAGGTAATCATCAATCACAGCAAAATGCAGACACAGGAATCACTTATTTCACAACCACGTATGTAAGGCTGGGAGCATCTGAGTCACACTGAGAACTCTGTTCTGCTCCAGTGGCTGCATCTTCTTATTGTGAAGTCAACAAGGTGAAGAGCTATATACAATTTCTGTTACAAACAGAATCTCACAAATACAGAAAATGAGTTTCTATCAATTTCAAGAAACAGACAAAAGCCCCAAACCAACAATGCTTAACGTATTATCAAAAATTATTTTGAAACTGAGGAAAATAAACATTTCCTGATAAAAAAAGATAAAAAGCTATCTTTGTGATTTCCCAAAGAACTTCATTCCAATACCATTGTTATCATTTTGCCCAAGCCAGCAGTGAAGTGGTAGTGAATTATACATTTAAAAAGCAAAACCTGACATGCTTCAAAAGGAAAAAGGAGATTAATCATTCAAATCGCGCAAACAAAAAGAAGTTAGCAGAAAGACTGATCAAGAAAATATTCTGGAGGATTAATTTGATAAAAGGTAACAACTAATTAAAATTTTCAAAGGAGATTCATGAAGCCTGACAGATGACAAGGTTGATAAATGACTGACATGCAAAAGGAATGATCAAGAAAGCAAGAGCTGTAATAATACAAGTTAAATGTTTTTTTTCTACTTCTAAACTAAATCTCCACAACTGAGATTTGGAAGGTTTCCAAACTAATGTTATTGTTGAAACATGTATCCCAGCAAGTTTCTTGAACTAATATTGCATTAGGAAAGGGTTTAGAATAACAACAGCAGTAACAAAACTGTTTGCCCAAGAGCTCAACTAAAGCCCAAATACAAAATTGCTGACCTGCATTAAATCAACACTTGTGCGGATAGAACAGAAAATACTAAAACATCACACAGTATTTTTAAAGCAGACATCAAATTTAATCCTACAAATTGAAGACCCTTATGTGCAAACCATGCTGAGCAGGCGAAATGGA